ATAAGAGCAGAAAATTACAATTAACTTGAATTTCTCCAAACTGGCTAAAGAAAGCATGGTATGTCCCTAGTATGGAATACTGTGGCAGCTGTTTGCAGTCCTGTCTGCAGATAAGACTGTGGGAAATTGCCCAATGTGTGAAATGGGAAAAGAGGAAGAAAATCACATCTTGACGTCAAGCCCATTTTGCATATCTCGAGAAACATACCAGCTAGGAAAAGTAAACTGGAAGAAAATATATTAAAATGTGAATAGCATTTTCCTAGATGTTGACATAGTGAATGGTTTAAATTTTTCAATTTTTATTTTACTAGATTTGCCAGATTCTCCACAAGTTAACATGGAATGCTTGCCCTTGACTCTATTTGTGGATGAGTACAGTGACTGAGGGCCTGTCCTTTGGAGGCGGTCCCCAGGCTGCTCTTGTGGGTCCCGTTTCAGCCAGCCCTCTGGCTTTTGTCCCCCACAGTGACCGATTAGCACTGCTCCAGGTCCGGGCCATCCTCCAGCAGCTGGGTCTGAATAGCACCTGTGATGACAGTATCCTCGTCAAGACCGTGTGCGGGGTGGTGTCCAGGAGGGCCGCGCAGCTGTGTGGTGCCGGCATGGCTGCGGTGGTGGATAAGATCCGCGAGAACAGAGGACTGGACCGTCTGAACGTGACTGTGGGCGTGGACGGGACGCTCTACAAGCTTCATCCGCAGTGAGTGGGCCTTCCAGTTGGGATGCACAGAGCTTACTGGGATCCCTTTGGGTTAGGGGATATCAGGGTGTGGTTCATGCTGGGGAAATTCCCTGCCAGAGCCCAGCCAGCCTGAAGGCTGTGGGATCAGGAACTGGGGATTATCTGGGATAAGGTAATGAACAGTTTGTAGGGTTTGACTGAATCCTTAGGGAGACAGAGAAGTGGCTTCACTTTGCCAGCTCACACCAGTGACATGATGTGACCCTCACCCCACTCCTCCTGGGCCCCGTTAGGCGGGGGCTTGGCAGTGGGAGAGAAGGTGAGGGTGAGGGTGAGGGTGGGCATGGGCTCACTCATAAGCCTGGTGAGCTGTGGTCAGGCCAGAGGCTATGTGGGTGAGTGGGGAGACGATATTAAATTTTTCAATTTTATATTAAAAGGGGAGGAGCTGGTGCAGTGGCTCACACCTTAATCCCGCATTTTGGGGAGGCCTAGGTGGGAGGGCTGCTTGAGTCCAGAAGTTTGAGACCAGCCTGGGCAACATAGTAGGACGTTCTCTGTACAAAAAGTATTTGAAAATTAGCCAGGCGTGGTGGTGCACGCCTGTAGTCCCAGCTAATTGGGAGGCTGGGGGTTGGAGGTAGAGGTTGCTTGAGCCTCTACCTGCCAGCCTCAAGGAGGATTGCTTGAGCCTAGGAAGTAGAGGTTGTAGTGAGCCCAGATCACGCCACTGTACTCCAGCCTGGGCAACAGAGTGAGACTCTATCTCAAAAAATAAAATAAGAAAGGAGGAGAGCCACTGCCTTGTTCAGCTGCTGAATCAGTTCGCTAAGGTTGGAAGGGCGGGAGTGGTCTGGGCTCTGGGCTTCCTGGCAGGGAGGGGTAGGGAGTGGCCTCTCTCTGGTCAGGCGTCTGACCCCCCATGCCAGAAAAGGACATGTTACTCCACTTGCTTTGTGATTGTGATCTGCATGTCTCAAAGCTTGGCTCTTAGGAATAGGGTGACCATGTTATTTATTTATTGTCTACACTAGGGTACTCTTGCCAGTCAAGAGTGCTAGTAATGATTGCTCTGGGACTGTAGGCAAACTAAGACCATCCCAGATAAACGAGGCCATAGTGTCACCCTAATTAAAGCAACCTCACCTGACTCAATGTATACATTACCTGCTTACCTCATGGCCGTGGCTTGGGATGGAACCATCTGTCTTGCTCCATCCTTACCTCTGTCTCTTCACCTTAACAGCTGTCCTTGCCATCAGCTGAGGCACCACACAGGTGTGGTTTAGAGCTAGGCTTTGGAGCCACATGCTCTTGGATTTAACCCTGGCACCGACACTTAGAATCTATGTGCAATTGCATACTCCCTGCAAAATCTCATCTTCCTCATGGGATGGCAGCCTCTGGCAGGACTAGAAATTAGATCTATAAAGTAAGAGGCACCTAGTAGGTCCTCAGACTTCTTGGCTGAAGTGTTCCTCCCGCCTTGGCTTCCCAAAGTACTGGGATTACAGGCATGAGCCACCACACTCAGCCCACCTGATAGGTCCCCAACCAAGGGCAGTGATTACTTTTGAGAGCCCCTCGCCCCAAGCATCTTCAGCCTGGCCCTGTTTTTCATTTTTAGCCCAAATTGCAAGGATGTAGATTCAGCCCTTGTTCAGAAACTGTCTTCACTGGAGGCATTCTTGTCTTTGGGGGCCAGGCTGTTAATGGCGGGGGTCTGGGGGTCTCAGGGCTGCAGCTGGGGTGGCTGATATTCCTGCATAGCCTCCTGATCGGATCCAGTGCATGGCCAGCTTGGGCCTGCCTCATTGATCCATGTTGGCCCCTAATATCCTCCTTGGTTTTCAGGTCCCCTTGGTGCTTCAGGCTCCAATGTGGGGTGTGTGCCAGTGTGGTTCATGTCCTAGCCCTCAAAAGCCATACAGAGCAGCTGTGTTTGGGTTCTCGTTGGGCCTCCCTGCTGAAAATTCTGACAGTGGGATTGACCATAGGCCCACTTTCCTCCCAGCCGTTCTCAATAGGCCGCAGCTGCTTCTAAGCAGCCTCCCTCCCAGCCGTGTTCACACCCTTTATTGTAGCGTTCAGAGTCTCTTTGACTTCCAATGCTTATGCCCCGATAAAACGCTTCACAAAGTCAGAGGATCCTAAGTGGAATCATCACCAGTTGGGGAGTCTGTGTGTGCTTTGGTGTTTCCGGGTGAGCCCTGCGTCCCTCATCTTCCTCCAACTACCTTCTCCGATTTTCTTGTCCTTTTTAGCTTCTCCAGAATCATGCACCAGACGGTGAAGGAACTGTCACCAAAATGTAACGTGTCCTTCCTCCTATCTGAGGATGGCAGCGGCAAGGGGGCCGCCCTCATCACGGCCGTGGGCGTGCGGTTGCGCACAGAGACAAGCAGCTAAGAGCCCGGGACCCCCACCTGCTGCCCCTCCAGCACTTCTCTCTTCGAGTGGCAACCCCTACCTTCCCAGCGAGTCGTGCTGGGAGACGCCGGCACCACGGCCCCCCAGTGTGGGGAGGAAAGCAAACTCCAACTAATGGTGTATATTGTAGGGTACAGAATAGAGGGTGTGCTGTTGATAATATCTCTCACCCGGATCCCCCCTCACCTGCCCTGCCACTCTGCATGGTTTGACTTCGACCTGGTCCCCAACGTGTGAAGTGTACTGGCATCCATTTCTAATGTATGCATTCATCCAGCGGAGTTATTTATTGGCTGGAGATAGAAAGTCGCACCACCTGACAGGCCTTCTGGGCCTCCAAAGTCCATCCTTGGGGCTCCCCGTCCCCGTGTGAAATGTATTATCACCAGCAGACACTGCCAGGCCTCCCTCCCGGGGGCACTGCCTGAAGGCGAGTGTGGGCATAGCATTAGCCGCTTCCTCCCCTCCTGGCACCCACTGCGGCCTGGCGTCCCATCGTGCTGTGTCAATGCCACAAAATTGTGTGTCCGTGGAACCAGTCCTAGCCACGTGTGACAGTCTTGCATTCTGTTTGTCTCGTGGGGGGAGGTGACAGTCCTGCAGGAATGTGTTTTGTCTCCATTTGGGTAAAAGGAAGCAACCAATGAACAATGCCATCACTGGAATTTCCCACCGCTTGTGAGCCATGTCGTATGACCTAGTAAACTTTGTACCGATTCAAAGACCTGAGTGATGCTTAATGGCTGGGGACGGGGCGACAGGTTGGGGGGTGCGAGGTTTCTTAGGATGTGTCAAAGACCAAACACTGGGGAGTTTTGTGGCCTTCTGCGTGACGGAGCTTTTATTTTTGAGACAGAGTCTTGCTCTGTCACCTAGGCTGGAGTGCAGTGGTGCAATCTCAGCTCACTGCAACCTCCACTTCCAGGGTTCAAGCAGTTCTCCTGCCTCACCCTCCCTGGTAGCTGGGATTACAGACACCCGCCACCACGCCCAGCTAATTTTTGTGTTTTTAGTAGAGACGGGGTTTCACCATGTTGGCCAGGCTGGTCTTGAACTCTTGATCTCATGATCCGCCTGCCTTGGACTCCCAAAGTGCTGGGATTACAGGCAAGAGCCACTGCACCCAACCAGAGTTTGTTTTTTTTTTTTTTTTGAGACCGAGTCTTGCCTTGTGATCCAGGCTGGAGTGCAGTGGCACAACCTCAGCGTACTGCACCTCTGTCTCCTGGGTTCGAGCGATATTCCTGCCTCAGCCTCCTGAGTAGTTGAGACTACAGGTGCGCACCTCCACGCCCAGCTACTTTTTGTATTTTTAGTATAGATGGGGTTTCACTATGTTGGCCAGGTTGGTCTTGAAGTCCTGACCTCAGGTGATCCACCTGCCTCAACCTCCCAAAGTGCGGGGATTACAGAACAAGGCCACTTGGCTTCCAGAGACTGCTTGGCTTCAATGAGAGTACTGCAACACTGGTCCCCTCTGTGTCATCCCCACATGGATCCTGCCTTCATCTTCCTCTCTGCCAACTCTAAGACAGGATGAAATGTGCCCTGCCCAACCCCTTTCCTTTCGCCCCACCGAAACACAGATGAAATCTTGAAGCAGCCCAGGGTGGCTGTACTCACCCCGTCCCGGATCTTTTTTCTTTATTTTTAAGTTTTCTTCATTTTTTGTAGACAGAGTCTCACTATGTTTCCAGGGCTGGTCTTAAACTCTTGAGCTTAAGCAATCTGCCTGTCTTAGCCTCCCACAGTGCTGGGATTACAGGCATGAGCCACCATTCCCGGCCCACCCGCTCCTGGATCTTAGATTTACCCACTCCCTAGGAAATTAACCCTTGTCTGACCTCTTTACTCTCCCTCCCCACCCCCACCTCAAGAGATTGCCGTTCTATCCCCAGGCTCTCATTTTGGATTCTCCCCAAGCTTTTGGTGAGTTCCATGTCACTCTGCACCCAAGCACCCTGTGATGTCCCAAGCCACAACCGCTCTAAGTGCCTTCCCGCAGGACTGACTGCAAGACCACCTGGTTTGGTGACCACCTTTATTGGGGCATGGTGCTGGTGTCTATGGAGCAGTGATTTTTACGGAGAACACAGACAGCATTACACCTTGCAATGTGCATTGACGATGTTATGTGGTTCATCCACCGGGGAACCAGGGCGTGGAGGCTGAGTCGGCAAGCAAGAGGAGGTGTACCCTAGGAATGGGCTGGGCCAGACCTGGAGCTTTCTGGGAGTTGGGACAGCTGCTCTCCGCCCTCCAGCTTCCTGCTGCAGTGGGAGTGGGAGCTGTCTGCTGCTTTGTAGGTGGCTTTTGTGTAAAATAGTTAAAAGTCATGGCTAACAGCCAGATGTGATGGCTGACGCCTGGAATCTCACCACTTCAGGAGACAGGTGGGAGGAATGCTTGAGCCCAGGGGTTCAAGAACAGCCTGGGCAACATAGCAAGACCCCATATCTACAAAAATCTTAAAAATTAGCTGGATGTGCTGATGTGTGCCTGTGGTCCTAGCTACATGGGAGACTGAGGCGGGAGGATCCCTTGAGCTCAGGAGGTTTAGGCTGCAGTGAGCCCTGATGATGCCACTGCACTCCTGCCTGGCTACCATGTATTGGGCACTTCTCTGGTCTGGCCTGCTAGTTTATAGATATTACTGCCATTGTTCCTCACAGCATCCCTGTGAAGTAGTTTTGATACTGGGCAGAGGAAGAGGCTCAGGTGTGACTTGCCTGAGGAAACACAGCTGACTCTTTGGACTCTTAATCACCATCTGCCTGGGCTGTATCTGACGTCTTAGACACTGAGGCAGAAAGGCCCTCGGCTGCCTCACAGTCACTGGGCTTTGTGAAATAAGAAGTTTCCTCCCTTGTATGCACAGCCTGATGGTGAATCAGTGTCATAGTTGCATTGCCCACAGGTACGTTTTGTTTGACTTACATAAAGCTTATGAAAATGTGGGCCAAATTCAACACATCTGGAAGACTCACATACAAATCTGGATTTACAGCTTCTATGGAAAGATGTAGAAGATCTAGCAACAGTGGGCTCCCATTACCACGTGGCAACGTTTGTCCAGAGCTGGGCAGTTCCTGTCCCCTTTGAATGCCTGTCTCCAGGTTGCCATGCTCCCACCATTCCCTAGTCCCTCAACACTGAGGCTGGAAGTCAGTTGCCTTTTATTATCACATTTGCAGTTTTTCTTTTGTAAGTATTCTTGCATGCTCCAGGAAGGCATTTGAGCTTGCATCTCCTAGATTAGATAAATACCAGCTCACACTGTCTTTTCTGACCTTTACTGGATCCCCCGAGGTGCTCTCTGAGATGAGGGGCTGAGTCCTTGTAGAGTCAGCATCCTTTCTGGAGTTCCCAGCCCCATCTTGTTTTTGCATTGGGATATTGAAGCATGGGGCATGCACTGAACTTCCAGATCTGGTCTTCCTGATAGGCTACTTCTCAAAGGGTGCCACACTCATTCCGCAGCCAGGCACAAGGCTTCAGGGTTCAGTAGGCATCTGTCTTAGTCCATTTGTGTTGCTTTCATGGAATACCTCAGACTGGGTAATTTATAAAGAAAAGAGGTTTATTTGGCTCATGAGTCTGGTGGCTGGAAAATCCAAGATTGGGCAGCTGCATCTGTGAGGGCCTAAGGCTGCTTCTAGTCAAGGTAGAAAGTGGAAGGGAAGTGGTTGTGTGCAGAGAGATCACATGGTGAGAGAAGACGACAGGGAAACTGAGGACACCATACTCTTTCTAACAACTTGTTATCTTGGGAACTGGTCCATTCCCACAAGAGTGAGGATTCACTCCAGCTGAAGGGCATTAATCTATTCATAAGGGATCCACCCCTAATACCCAAACACCTCCCACTAGCCCCTGCTTCCCAACTGGGCCACATTGGGATCAAATTTCAACATGAGTTTTGGTGGGGATGAGCAAACCATACCCAAACCATAGCCCCGATCCATCTTGGGGATGCCCCGCCTCCCCATTGGTAGCTTCGGACGGGGCTGCATCCCCAGCCATGAACAAAGTCTCCTTAGTGTGACACCTGTTGACTCTCGTGGAGAGGGAGGGCGTGGGAGTCAGCTCGAGCTTATCTTCTTCGGTGGGTGTGACCCACGGGCAACAGCGGAAGGCAAGCCGGAATCCAGAGCGGAACCTAGGGAGCGAGGGGCATGGCAGCTGTGATGTGACTGCCCCCACCCCCAGGAAACTGTCCCCCTTCCAGAGGAAAGTCACTGTCTCTCTCCAAGAGCCTCCCATGGCTCGGGGGCTCTTGAGAGACGCTTTCGTGGGTAAGTTTGATCTGTGGAAACTGCCAGAATGTTCTGGAGCTGAGTCTAATGAATGAAGTGGGTGACTAAGCTGAATTAGGCAAACAAACAAAAACTGCCCAGCATGATTACAAACAAAAAACAATACAAAAACCCAGCAGATGTTCCTGTTTGACTTGTTAATTGGCTTCTAATGAAGGAATCAGAGAAGAACCTGCTAAAACACAATGGAGGCTCTGGCAACTCCAGAGAACGTGGATGCTTTCCCAAGGGGACTGCTTTGAAAAACCCACACTCGGAGCCACCAAGCTCTGGTGCATTTGCCTGAAAACAAACAGCTGTCCCCATGGCAGCATGGAACAGGAGTTCAGAGGAAGCATACACGGTGAGTGGAAGAAATCAGACAGCAGAAAGGGAACATGGGGTGCTCAGAGAGGGAATGGTTCAGAAGTGATGTCAGGATCTTGTAGAGCCTGGGGTGCTGTTCAGACTCCCAGGGACTGTATCTCCCTTGGGTGGCAGGAGAGTGACCAACCCACAGACACAGTGGGCTGGTGGCCCCTCCCTGATATCAGAGTCCCTGTCTCCGAGTTCTCAATCCCACAAGTCTTTACAGGCTCACGCCCGTAATCCCAGCACTTTGGGAGGCCAAGGCAGGTGGATCACCTGAGGTCAGGAGTTTGAGACCAACCTGGCCAACATGGTGAAACCCCACCTCTACTAAGAATACAAAAAATTAGCTGGGTGTAGTGGCATGCACCTGTAATCCCAGCTACTTGGGAGCCTGAGGCAGGAGAATTGCTTGAACCCAGGAGGCAGAGGTTGTGGTGAGCAGAGATCTCTCCATTGCACTCCAGCCTGGGCAATAAGAGCAAAACTCCATCTCAAAAAAAAAAAAAGAAATGCATGGTGTGGCGGTAAGATGACAGGCCCTGGAGATGCCTGGAGTCCTGGCTTTACTGTTTGTGGTATGAGTTTGGGAGCATCTTCCTTTCTGAAGCTCACTTTCCTCATCTGTAGAATGGGGATGACACCTGCTTCTCTATTATCTACTTCCCTCTCAGGAGATAGAGGGTTCTGGCCCCCAGTAGGCATGCAGAAAATCATTGCTCCTTCCGTTTGGCCGGTCCCAGGTGGGTGAAACGTCTGAGCAATAAAGACCCCAATGGCATTATGAGTAGGCTGGCTACCTGGCCATGGAGGTGACAAAAAACACAAACTAAGAGGTCCAAGGCCAAGCTCTCCCACATCATTGCCTCACTGAGGTGAGACTGTGTCCACCTCTTGCTGCCCCTGACGTGCCCACCTTCAGGGTTTCCTTTCCTACAGCTGAAAGGTCTGCTCTGCAGGAGGTCTCCTGGGGCTGGGGTCCTGCCTGGCTCGTCACCCCCCACCTCTCCAGGCACCCCAGAGCAAGGGCAGGCCCCTCTCGGGGACTGATTTCCTCGGAACCACAAGGGCTAGGGAGGCTGGATGATGCCAGAAGGAGAGTGAGATTCTGGCCCTCTCCTTCCTGACTGTCTCTGCCAAGGTCACTTCCCAGCTGCCCTGAAAGCCCCTCGAGGACAGGGCATGTACTGTGTCCTTCCTAGGGAGGAGCTTGCCCCATCCCTGTGCTGCCCGCAGCCCCCATCCACTGCTTCCACTGCAGGACAGGCACTTACTCGGCTCCAGGAAAGCCCTCAGTAGGAAGCTCCTGAAAATATGAGAAGTCAGTCCCTCCTGTTACCTGGCTCTTCTTTCCTCCGTCTGTCCTGTCCCCTCTCTCTGCCTCTCCCCTTCCCTCCATCTCTGGCCCTCCCTTCTCTCTTCTCCTTGCCCCAGACACAGAGCCCAGAAGAGCCAGCAGGGACAGGCGGTGAGAGCTACAGCCGGGGAGACTGGGCAAGGCTTTTCGGAGGAGAGGGGCTCAGGCTAGGCCCAGGCCGAAGGGAGGATGGTGCTGGGGGCTGAGTGTGAGGACGGCTTTCTCACGTAGGCTGGGGGCATGGGGGCACAGGCTCTGGCAGGAGCGAGGGTGGATGCTTGAGCTGTGCAGGGGAGCCTGGGTGGGCCCAGCAGTGGGGCCCTGAGGGCAGAGGGTGGGGCTGGAGTGGGGCTCACCTGTGGTTGAGGCAGCAGTAGATGATGGGATTGTACATGGTGGAGCTCATGGCCAACCAGAAGAGTGCCAGGTAGACCTGCTGGATGAACTTGTGGCAGTAGATGTCCTCCTGGAAGCTGCCCAGGAGGAAGTAGAGGTGGTAGGGCAGCCAGCAGACGGCGAACGTCACCACCACCAGCACCATGGTCTTCACGAACTGGTCCAGGAGAGGCTCAAGTTACTTCTTAGTCCCCAAGCCCCAGCCCCAGCCCTCCAAGGTCAGACGAAGAGCACCCCTGGTACCCGCCTGGGAATCTCTCCATACTCAGAGCCCATTAGTTGTGTTACTCGGGCCCCTGAGCATCTGATGCCCAGACATTCCTGAGCCCCCAGCCTCAGGGGCTTTTGCTCAGGCTGGTCCCTCTGCCCACACTGCCATCCTTACTTTGAAGTCCTCACTCCTGGAAGCCCAGCTCAATGGCCACTTCCCAAAAAGGTGTGGCCTGCATTCACTGCAGCTCCCCCTCCCTGGAGAGTGGCTGAGCTCTCTCCCTGAACCCCATCCCTAGGAGATATCATGTCAGCTATGCGTTCCCAGGCCGCCCCCTCTCCGGGATCCGTATCTACACAATCCTTCTCTCTGTGGGCTGTGAGCCTCTGCCCAGGGGTCGGCTCCCTTACCTCCCTGTCCTCACAGCCTGGCCCCTGCAGCACACTCCTGTACCATTCAGCAGCCCAGCATGCCAATTACAAAAGGTCTGGGGGCTCTGGGCACCCTGATCCTCACGTAGGATCTGGGTTGAGAGCCCTAGTGTGGAGCAGGTGGAGGCCAGTGCTCATGAGGGGCATCAGATGGTGCCCATGTCCAGCTACCTTCCCGAACTAACCTGGGAAACATGCCTATTGTTGGGTGAGAAGCCTTTGACCTGGCAACATGATATCGTTAACCCATTATCTCCCCTGTTGCCTGGCAGGAAGGGGGCAAGGACAAGCTTGGACTGGAGGAGGGTGAAGGGCCTGGGGCACCGAGTGCTACATCAGGACCTTTGGGGGAGCCTGGATGGCAGGAAGCAGGGGGCACTGGCACTTCCAGAAGAGGCTGGAGACAGATTTGATGAAGCTGGACAGTCCTCTGAGGTCCGCAGTTCCAGCCTTTGAGGGCTCTCCTGTGACTGTCTAGGCGCCTTCTGTAGTTCTGTGGGGCTTCTTAAATTCAACATTCTGATTATTCAGAAAGTCTAAGATTTTAATATTTTATCATTCTAAGATTCTTGGAGGTATCTGAATTCTGTGGGGCTTTAGGAGTCCCTGACTCCCCTAACATTCTGGGAAGTTTCTTTAATTTTGTATTTGGCGAAAGACCAAAGGCAAGTCCACCTGCCTGGGAGGAACACGGTTAGGCTCTGGTCCCAGGCTTCCCGCAAAGGCAGCTCCCGTAAGTTTCTCCCGGGCGCCCCCTTGCGGGCGGGTCTTGAGACGGCAAGGGCGGCCCCCCCCCAGGGCGGAGTCAGGCCCCGCCCCGCCCCCGCCAAGCCCCGCCCCCGCGCCCACCTTCTTCTTGGCCTGCAGGTGGCGCAGGTTGGCACCGTGCGCCTGCTGTCCCGGCACTGGGCGCCTCCAGAGCGTGAGGCCGATGACGCTGTAGGCGACGAACATCACTGCCAGCGGCAGGAAGTAGATGAGGGCGATCACCACGAGGTGGTACCTGCGGAGAGAGCCGGAGCCTGGGCAGCGGGCGGCCCGAGGGCAACTCCAAAGGCTGCCGGCGCCGGGTCCTGCGACCCCGCGGGTACCGTGGAGCCGCCCTCTGCGGGACCACCGTGGGCGCCGACTAGGGCCTTGGTTTGATTTAAACAAAAATAAAGGGGACATTGGGTAGCCTGTGTGCCAAGAAACGGCTTCCCCTGCAAAAGGAACGACAGCAGTAGCCCTGCGTCCTAACATGTGATAGACACGTGCCAAAAAAAGAAAAAAGGAACGAAACAAATTTAAAAATAATTTGGTCGGCCGGGCATGGTGGCTCACGCCTGTAATCCTAGAACTTTGGGAGGCTGAGGCGGGCGGATCACCTGAGGTCGGGAGTTCGAGACCAGCCTGAGCAACATGGAAAAACCCCATCTCTACTCAAGCTGGGCATGGTGGCGCATGCCTGTAATCCCAGCTACTCGGGAGGCTGAGGCAGGAGAATCACTTCAACCTGAGAGGCGGAGGTTGCAGTGAGCCGAGATCATGCCGTTGCACTCCAACCTGGGCGACAGGGTGAGACTCAGTCTCAAAAAAAAATTAATAATTTGTTTACAATTTAAAATAACATTAAGCACAAAGGAGGATGTAAAATTATCCCACTCCCACCACTATTAATATTAGCATTAACAATTAATATCTGGCATGTTTTATCCAGAATCATATGTATGAATAGTAGTCATCCCGCTGGGACTTTCACTTTCTCAGGTTTCAGTTACCCCTCTCAACTGCGGATCCAAAATAGGGGAGGACAGTGCCACAAGATATTTTGAGAGAGACCTCATTCATAGAACTTTAATTACAGTATATTGTTATGCTTGTTCTGTTTTATTAGTAGTTATCGTTCATCTCTTGCTGTGCCTAATTTATAAGTTATACTTTATTATAGGTATGTATGTTGAGGAAAAAACATAATTGTGTGTGTGTGTGTGTGTGTGTGTGTGTGTGTGTATAGAGAGAGAGAGACAGACAGAGAGAGTTCTATCTGAAGTTTGAAGCATCCCCCAGGGGTCTTGGAGTGTATCGTACAGTATAACCATATATGTATGTGTTCGTATACATTAGATTTATGTATATATATATAATCTGTCTGGATGGATAGAATGGCTTGTGTTAATAAGGCTCCATCTGTGCCAACATCGCTATGGAGCAAGGGGACAGTGGAAGAGTGCCATATGTCACATGCTGCTGTATCATCTGCTTACGGCTCATCAGCATTTGGCTGGGAACCTCGTTTGTGTCAGCAAATGCCCTTTCATTCCACCTTTGAGCAAGTCGTGCAGAGTACCATTGCGTGGCTTCTTACCCCGTCCCCAGGGAGGACACTGGGTTGTGCTGACGCTTTTCATTTCCTTTTGGAAACAGTGTAGGCCGGTGTGATGGCGCATGCCTGTAATCCCTAAACTTTGGGAGACCAGGATGGGAGGATTGCTCGAGCCCAGGAATTTGAGACCAGCCTGGGCAAGACAGTGAGACCCTATCTCTGTAAAAAATTTTTAAAAATTAGCCAGGCATAGTGGGGCACACCTGTAATTCCAGCTACTCAGGAGGCCGAGGCAAGAGGTTCCCTTGAGCCCAGGAGACTGAGGCTGCAGTGAGCTATGATTGGGACACTACACCCTAGCCTGGGTGACACAGCAAGACCCTGTTGCCAAATAAAAAAGGGGGGGGAGACAGTGTTCCCAGCTCTCAGCTCTCTGGTTTCTGAGTGACGCTGAAGGGTGGGGACTGACTCCCAGGCAGGTCTGCAGTGGGAACCTGTGGAGACAAAAGTGACTCCATCTTGGATGCCATTCCCCCATGTTGCCTTCTGACTCATCCCGGTCTTGTGAATGCCTTTGATTTCTACTTTATCTACTGTCCCTACCATAAGAGCATGTCGACCTTGATGTTATTCCACAGATCACAGGCTGTGATGCACACGGCGTTCTTGCCTGTTCTGGGGGCCGCCTTTCGTTGTCGTGCTAGAGCACGGATACCCTTTCCCTGTGGTATACAAACCTTGCGTCTGGGGAGTGCGAATGCGGAGTCCACCTGTCTCGTGGCCACCCAAGTTTCCGCTTCTGTCTGTAAATTCCCTCAGCAAGTCACCCAATACTGACAAACTAAATGTGTCTGCCTCCTTCTTTGGGTCTTGGCTGCTTTGGCATTTGGGGGCCCCGTTTCACCGAACAGAGTTCTCGGAGCATTCCTCCAAAGGGCCTAAGACCCCTGGTCCTGCCATGTGACCTTTTTCTTTCTTACTGGGAGGACCGAGGTGTTCCAAGCACCCTGCTTCTACCTGCCATGTGCTAGCCTTGCTGGGTCCCTTTCTAGAGGTGCTGCCACCCCAAGAGAAGGGGGCCCATGGTGAAACCGCCTTTGCAAAATTATAACCGAGGAAATTATGACAGTGAAAGAAATCAGACCTAACCGACCCTTTCTTGCTTCTAATCTTTAAGCCGTCCTTGTTCATTCCTGGGCATAGGCCGAACTAACTTTGGGAAGGAATTCAGTTCATGGTTTGACTCTGAAACAAAATTGATAACAGCCCTTTCCCCAAAAGACCCCCTTCTTGCCCAGGGACCAGTCTGCCTTTGCAGGACTAACAAATGAGCTACAAGATTAGAAATGATACCTTAGGGGCTATGCAGCCTCTGGCTCCAAGAGTCTGAACCTCCCCAAATTCCTGGGGGTAACATCACTATTATGAAACCTAAGATTAGTGATTGAGATATTTTGCAGACCCTGTACTCAGTGGATCAGCTGACACCATCCAGACCACGTAATCTGACTCAACCAATTCTGCCATTGCACCCAGGAACAGAAAATGGCAAGGAAACCTCACTTTGACCCGCTATGATTCCACCTCCAACCTGACCAATCAGCACTCGCCACTTGCCAAGCTCCTACCTGCCAATTATCTTTAAAAACTCTGATTCCTGAATGCTAAGGGACACTGATTTGATTTTTTTTTTTTTTTTTTTTGAGATGGAGTTTCGCTCTTGTTGACCAGGCTGGAGTGCAATGGCAGGGTCTTGGCTCACCACAACCTCCACCTTCCAGGTTCAAGCAATCCTCCTGCCTCAGCCTCCCAAGTAGCTGAGATTACAGGTGCCTGCCACCATGATTGGCTAATTTTGCATTTTTTTTTTTTTGTTTGGGTTTCACCATGTTGACCAGGATGGTCTCGATCTCTTGACCTCGTGATCCACCCGCCTCAGCCTCCCAAAGTGCTGGGATTACAGGCTTGAGCCACCGCGCCCGGCCTAATTTTGCATTTTTAGTAGAGACACAGTTTCGCCGCATTGGCCAGGCTAGTCTCAAACTTCTGATCTCAGGTGATCTACCCTCCTTGGCCTCCCAAAGTGCTGGAATTACAGGCATGAGCCGCCACACCTGGCCTGATTAGAGTAATAGTAAAACTCTGGTCTCCTGCACAGCTGCCTCTGCATGAATTACTCTTTCTTCATTGCAATTCCTGTCTTGATAAATAGTTCTGTCTAGGCAGCAGGCAAGGTAAATCCACTGGGCGGTTACGACGGCTCCAGTAACTCTCTCCTAAAGCCTTGTGTTTAGGATTCTGCTTGGGTGCTTTTGGCAAGCATGCCAATTACAAGAGATTCAGGGGCTCCTAGACTCCCTGATCCTCAAGTAGGCTTTGGGTTGAGAACCCCAGTGTGGAGCAGATAAGAAGGGAGGAGGGCCAACGAGGACAGGCCCCATCGCCTTACAGAGTGAGGAGCAACAGAGCCACCTGTCTCAGTGTCCAGATGGGGAAACTGAGGCCCAGGAAGTCTGTTATATCAGTCTACAGATTTCATCACGACCCCATTTCCCTTTTCCTGAGGGTCAGCGCAATGGAGTCAGAACAGGGCTCTTGTCCAGCCTCTTGTTTAAAGCATGGTCTTAGGCAAGTCAGGGCTTTCCCTCAGCCTCAGTTCCCCCATCTGTAAAAGGAGGAGGCCATTTCCAAGTCCTTCCTTAGTAGGAGCCACACTCCTCTGCTGCTTGCTCCCAGGATGTCATGCAGGACAGGATTCACTCTGGGCTAGGTCTCCATGCAGAAAGGAGAGGGGAAGAGTCCGGGGGCCGTCTTTTTGTTTTGCTTGTTTTGAGACAGTTTTGCTCCTGTCACCCAGGCTGGAGTGCAATGATGTGATCTCAGCTCACTGTAACCTCCGCCTCCCGGGTTCAAGCAATTCTCCTGCCTCGGCCTCCTGAGTAGCTGGGATTACAGGCAACCACCATCACGCCTAGCTAATTTTTATATTTTTAGCGGAGACAGCATTTTACCACATTGGCCAGGCTGGTCTCGAACTCATGACCTCGGGTGATCTGCCCACCTCTGCCTCCCAAAGGGAGTCCTTTTGTATTTTGATTTTGGGGGTGTGAGCACATGTTCCCGGAGAGGGCATCTTTAATTTCATCAGATTCCGACTTACACACAGTTATATGAGCCTGTGTGGATAGAGCCCTCATCCTAAATCTCTAAATTAGGCATTCCCCCAGGTAAAACAGTAACACATGCTCACACTTAAAACCAGGCTTTCCCCAAATCCTTTCAGAATTTTAAGTAACACCAAAGTATGGCTTTCCTAGCCCGCCCTGCCCGCCTGTTTTTCCCAGTTGCCTGAAGCTGGGTTGGAACTTGCTATTCCCAGAGAGCTGGCTCGCGCAATGGTCCTGTGTTAAGGTAGAGAAACACTGCCCCCAAGTGGCCAGTCTCAATATGTTCCACTCTCCATCCTTCCCTGAGCCAGAAAGCAGGGCACTCCCCATATATGGATATCACCCTCGGTGAGTTGGTGGGGTGCAGGGAAGGGGCAGAGACCCTGGGCAGGGTCTGTCCTCAAGACTCATCAGTCCCCAGGAATGGCTGCTCAGAGGAACGGCACCTTCCCTAGCCCTGAAGCCCACAAGAGCAGCCTTCTCCTGGCAGGTGCTCAGGACAGATGGCGACCAGGCAGGGAGGGTGTTGGAGGAGAGGTGTGTTGCCATGGCTACCTGGCAGCCCTCACCTCAGACCATGCGCATCTTCATGCTTGGGGCAGCCGGGGCTTTGGGAGACTGATCGGCCACTCCCAGGTGTGTTTTCGTGTGCCCCCCATTTAAACTACCACATACTGGGTAGCAGTTCTGTGCTAGGCATGGCATGACGGGCTTCACATTCACTATCTCACTTACGCTCACAACAACACTTTAGCAAGGTACTATGATGAATCCTAATTTTAGAGAAAGCCAGAAGTTCAGAGGTTACGTGCGTGCGAGGCCCGGCCAGGCGGGAGCAGGCGCGACTTGTGCCTGGCCGCTGACCCCAGAACCTCAGTCAGTTCTTTAGCCTCTACCAAGCAATGGCTCGGTGTCTGGGGACCACAAAGACACTTTGTGAGATCCTCAAAAACTGAGGCTGGAAATGGAGAAAGGACTCACCCAGGGTCACACGGTAGCTGGGCCATGCCTGAGTTCCTCTACCCCTGCCCTCCCTGCCTCAGCGTGAGGCGGACACCAGGCCTCCTCCTGAAAATGTCCCAGGCTCCATCATGGATCCTTTCTGCCTCAGTCTCCTGGCCCTTTGTGGCCTGAGCACGTAGAGAACCTCCCCCGCACATGTGCCTACACACGTCCCTAACACGTGCCTGTGTGCACACACATCTAGAAAGATGCCCACGCACTTGCACATGCACACACAGGCACACACAGGCAGAAATGAGTGCTGCATGTGCATGTGACATGTACAGTCACACACACATGTACATGCGTGCCTATCCTTATCCGAGGATGCACGGGTACGTTTTGGAGGAGCAGAGTGGTGAGGAGATTGGGCCCTGAGCAGGACTGCGTGGATTTAAATCCCTAGCTGGATTCGGATGACTAGGAGGATCTGAATTGCTAGCTGCGTGGTATTAGGCATGTTATTTAGTTTTTCAGTGCCTCAGTTTCTTCATCTAAAAAATGGTAATAATAATAATATAATATATACCCCATATTGTTAGGAGAATTAAATGGATCAGTGTATGTAAAGTGCTAAGAACAGGTCTGCTACTTTGGGCATGTTGCTCACTAAACATATAGGTAATTCACATAATCCCATGTACATTCACTCGTGTACAGCCATGCACACACACCACACATGCATGGACGCACGTGCACGCGCGCACACACACACACACACACACACAGCTGCCCTCGACAGTCCCCCAGAGGCCTTACAGGAGTAGTGTCTTGCCCCTGCTGTCTTCAGGCCAGGCCACCACGCACTTGGTGGCACCCTGGTCCATGGTGATGGTGGAGTAGAAGCACTGCGGGGAGGCCAGGGCAAGAGCCACCAGCCAGATGCCAGCAATAACCGCCTTGGTGCTGGGGGCTGAGAGCCGAGGCTGGAAGGGGTGGACGATGGCCATGTACCTGTGAGCAGAGGGCAGCGTGAGTGGCAGGGGCTCTCCAGTTAGCCCAGCTCCCTCGTCCCTGTCTCCCTCTCCCATAACCCAGGCCCACACCCTCTAGCCCTTCCCTGCACTGCTGCCATCTGCCGATGTCATAGTCTCAGCCGATCTGCAGAGAGCCTGCTGGGCTGGTGACTCTCCCACAGCCACACAGCACACTGATGCCTTAGCCCCAGCCCGGGCACCTCAGCCCACCAGTTCCCTCTGGGCACGGACATGCCTGTGGATGGCCACAAGAAAGTCACGCTGGAAGTCTATCTCGGGGCAAGGCTGAGCATCTAACTTTAGCCTGAAGCTCAGCCCTGAGCAGCATCAGGAAAATAATTGGCCCTTTTAGATGGTAATTGCATGCAATGTTTTTAAATCTTTTGAGTTGGAGTCTGGCTCTTTCACCCAGGCAGGAGTGCAATGGCATGGTCTCAGCTCACCGCAACCTCTGCTTCCTGGGTTCAAACAATTCTCCTGCCTTAGCCTCTCAAGTAGCTGGGATTACAGGCATGCACCACCACACCTAGCTAATGTTTGTATTTTTAGTAGAGAGAGGGTTTCACCATGTTGGTCAGGCTGGTCTCAAACGCCTGACCTCATGATCCGCCCACCTCAGCCTCCCAAAGTGCTGGGATTACAGGGGTGAGCCACTGCACCCAGCCTGCATGCAATCTTAAACTTCTCCCCTTTTGTAATCTATCTGGAATGAAAACAACAGTATAAGACATTTCCTTGGAGTGAAAGAAAGACAGCAAAACAAAAATCAACTCCAGGAAAGAACATTTTGGAAGATTTTAAAACACAGCCCACTTCCCCTACAGACTTGAACAACCTGTCTAGTACAAAATCCCTCTTTGTGTCTAACCCTCACTCTACCTGCTTCAGTTCCACAGTCCCCTCACCTTCCAGATTCATAGTTTTAGATGATGACCAGATTTGGGAAGCCATTCCCTTGGTTCTACCTGAACTTAGTGTGTGACCACAGACACGTCACCACCCCTATCTGAGCCCCGGCTTATCGAGGAGGCTCCCCCCGCCACCCCAGCTTCCCCAAGGCCCCACTTGCCTGTCGGCGGCGATGGCGGTCATGGAGTAGATGCTGACAAACATGGCTGTGATAGGGAAGAGGTTCTGGAAGTAGCAGAAGGCGCGGCCAAAGTACCAGATGTTGTGGCTGGCATAGACAAAGTTGAAGGTGGCGTTGAAGGCAGCCATGCAGAGGTCGGCCAGAGCCAGGTTGACGATGAAGTAGTTGGTGACCGTGCGCATCCTCCGATGGGCCAGGATGATCCAGATGACCGTGGCATTGCCCGTCACGGCCACCAGCACCAGGGCTAGGTAGGCTGTGGCCCACAGTGCCAGCTGCCAGCTGGGCATGGAGAAGGCTGTGGTGCCCGTGATATTGCTCTCAGGGTCAGATGAGACATTGGCCTCAGTCACAACATCACAGATCCCCATGGCTGCTTCTGGGTCTGGAACAAAGGGCCCGGTTCCTCGGCACCTCCCAGATTTGCTATGGAAGAGAACTCCCCTTCGGAGCATGGGTATATGGGGGCAGGGAGAGGAGCAGATGCCAAGGGTGGTGGCGCGTCAGGAGAGCCGGGGGCCACTCCTAGGTCTCAGGCAAAGATGAGTTGGGCTGAGCACAAAGCCCAGTCCAGAGCCACTGTCATTTCAGATTCCATCCTGCCGGCCAGACTTCTCGAATGTCACGTGGAAATAGAGAATTCAAATTATAATGTCAGAGCAGAAAACATCTTATAAATCAACCCCTTCGCTGAAGAGGTGGAAGACAGAGATTCCAAGAGGGGGTGGGACCAGCCCAGGTCACTCAGGAAGCTGGTGACAAGTCAGGACTCAAACCCAGGTTTCTCCTCTGGTAATTCAGGAAACCTTCCCCGTCAGAGTCTCTGGAGTCCACAGGTCAATGGCACCGCAGTCTCTCTCCAGGCTTTGGGGTGCGAGCTGGGCGAGGGGCTGGGTGCCCAGGACTCTGCCAGCTGCCAGCCCTCGCCGCAGCTTCCCTGCCGTTCTCTAGGGCAGGGCCAGTGGGGGTCTTGGCAGAGGTGCTGCCTGCTCACGAGGTGGGGCTTTGGCTCCCACCCCGGTCCCACCCCCTGCTTGGCCTTGTCTCTTGAAAGATTTAGGACTGGCTGCCAAGGCAGGGAGAGACATGGGGGAGACGGGGCTGGTATGGAGGGCACAACTCTTGGCGGGTGTTTACTTTCAGCCCAGGACAGGAGCTGCATCCGAAGAATGAGTCTGAATGCAGGCGGAGTTTGAGCCTGGTTTGGGGACTCCAGGCAAGTCTCAACATTTCTGAGCTCTGTCTGCCCCATCTAAAAAATGTAGGGAAAAAATGGTGTGCATCTTACGGTACGTTTGTGAATTTTAAATGAGACAATGCGCACAAAGTCTTTTTAGCATGGGGGTTGGTACATAAAAACTATGGTAGAGTTTCTAGCCCTAAGGGAGGACCCCACAGCACCGGGCTCTCTAGGAGAAGACAGAACCCAGAATGTTTCCAGTGAGTTCCCAGGTGATACTGATGCTGCTGGCACCAGGATCTCACTTTGAGAACCACTGTCTTGGGACAAAGTCAGGGCTCTTCTGGGAATCACAGCAAAGCTGGAGTTCTAACCCCTGAGAAGCTGCACTAGGTTTGCCCCATGATACCTGCACAGTCATTGACTGCGTGCACGTGTGTGAAGCTGTGACAGTGTTTCTGAGTGACTGTATGTGTGGCTGACATGTTAAGATCACACACACGCATGAACCTGTGCACACCTGTGGTGTGTGGACCCTGAAGGCAGGGGAGGCTTAGTGGGAGTGGTGGGGGGTGAATATGTTCTTCATTAAAGCAGAGGAGGCCTCTCATTCATCATCAAACCCCGCCACAGCAGCCTCTGTGCTCCCAAGGCTCTGCCTTTCACAGCCTGAGTTTCTTGTGGCTGAGCCACGGCCCCCACGTCCTGTCACTTTCCTGCCTCTCACTCTGTGTTCTCTTGCTTCCTGGGGTGAGCTGGGAAAGACCTTTAAAGGTCTCTAATGCTGAAAAGATTATGCCACCCATGGAATCCAAAATAAAAACAATGCTAAACCATAATTCATGAAACAAACATATGCTGAAATTGAAAGAGCTTCTTTTCAGATTTTTCTGATTGTGAAAGTCTGGGTAAACTCACCAACAATCAACACTGAAATTGTATCTATTGTTTGGTGTTCCTGCTGTGCAGATGTGAGGAGCATGTGCTGGGTCTAATAGGAACCCCATCCTTGCCCCTGGGGAGGGGGTATTTCCTGGGTCCCCAGCCCTCCTGGGGTATGTGTGCGTTTCCTCTCTGGAGCAGCCTGTTTGGACTTTGGACCCTCGCAGAAAGGTCTCTGCCTTTGATCTCTGCTGATGGTGGCCACAGTAGCAGTACTTTAGGGCGTGCTTCGTCTCCTGCCCATCTGGCCAGGGTCCTGAAGGGCAGAACGTGCGGAAATAAGAATGGAAGCCCAAGACAGCTTGCTCTCTTTGCTGTCCTGGCAGCGGGAATTTGTTGAGCTTCAGGTGCAAACAGCGCAGGGCTGGTGCTGGGAATACCATGGACCCCTCAGTGGTGACTGAGCAACCCCAAGCTTCTAGAAGGATTGGCAAAACCTGAGCTATCTGAAATAACAAGAAATTGTTGTTGATTTTAAACCTGTAAATTCTCTTAGAATTTGGTTTCCCTGAAATGAGTTATTTGCTTTGTGATGCTTGTTACTTACTGTTATATTTGAGAAAACGAAGAATAATGTGAAAAGCTGAGATGTGACTTGTAACTTTGGCTTTGCTAAGATGTAACTTTGGCTCTGCTGAACTGTTCTGGTAAAAACAGGAATTCTGTGAAAGGGAATAACCACATAGCCTGACTCCTGGAGAGAGATGACAGCGCTTAATGGGCTACTCCTTGCAGAGAGACTATAAACGGACGTGTAATGGAGAGGCTTATTACCTGGATTCCTTTCCCAGAAAAGGCATATGGAATATGGCCCTGGAAAGGGAATGCGACCCTTCTGGAGATCCTATAAACAGACGCATTAGGGGCGACCGACGTGAGGAAAAACCTCTGTGGGTGAGATAAGGATGAAAACATCTTTCTAGCCGGGCGCGGTGGCTCAAGCCTGTAATCCCAGCACTTTGGGAGGCTGAGGCGGGTGGATCACGAGGTCAAGAGATCGAGACCATCCTGGTCAACATGGTGAAACCCCGTCTCTACTAAAAATACAAAAAAAAAAAAAAAAGAAAACATCTTTCTTCTCCCACTGCTCCTCCAGGCCTGCATGGAGGCCCCTCCTCTTGCAGTTTTGTGGTCAGGCTGGTTGTCCTGTGTCAGATCCTGTTCCCCCTGCAGCTGTGAGCCCAATATGTTCTTGCTGATAATCATAAGTTTATGTTTAACCTCTATTCTTGCTAAGGTGTATGATTTCTATGCTGACACACAGAAAAGTTATCTTTACATTGTTCTGCTTTTATAATACCACGTTGTGATTTTTGTGCACCAGTTTTTGCAAATGTATTCTTTTTGTATAATTATCACTAAAACTTTGCGTAACCTCGCTCCCCCACCCTATTGAAAGAGCACAATAAAAAACTGAGGCTTTCAGGGGAATGTCAGACATCCACAGAGCAGCATTACATGGTGTCTCCCCTGGGCCCAGGTTTAAGGAAAACGTTTTCCTTGTCTCCCTTTCTTTTTCACCGACCACTCGGTAACTTTGAGAGATCTTGAATCCACGTTGATATATCGTGAGCTGGGCTGCCTAAGTGCATGTCACCATCACAGAATCCCAGCACAGTTCACGTTCCTCCCTCCCACAACATCCCGCCACCTCCACTGTGTATGTGAAGGGGATTATATTTTGGAGCTTGTAAATCGAGCTTTTATTTCCCCCTTAAATTATCTGCTCTTGCTGCTTCCCAACTATGTGCTATGGTTTGAAGCTTCATGGAAGCGGAGGGTGCAGGCCACCCAGGACAAAGGGGTTCCTGATCAGCTTTGCTGCTTGGTGCTGGCCTTCTGAGTCCATAGCTAGACAGTGGTCCCAAAGGCCAGTCTTTTCATTTTATTTATTTTTTTGAAGATGGAGTCTCACTCTGTCTCCCAGGCTGGAGTGCAATGGTGCGATCTTGGCTCACTGCAACCTCTGCCTCCCGGGTTCAAGCGATTTTCCTGCCTCAGCCTCCTGAGAAGCTGGGATTACAGGCGCACATCACCACGTCCAGCTCATTTTTGTATTTTTTTTTAGTAGAGACAGGGTTTCACTATGTTGGTCAGGCTGGTTCCTAACTCTTGACTTCAGATGATCCATCTGCCTTGGCCTCCCAAAGGGCTGTGATTATGGACATGAGCCACCATGCCTGGAAGGCCAGTCCTTTTAAAAGAGAGAAAAAAATTCTAAATTCTTACAGCTCTTTGACACATCAAGACCAGAGGGTAGCTCATCTAGGCTTGTGTGTGGGAAGTCCCAACCGGGCAAGAAATGAAGGGGGAAAGGCTGCCCTTTGGTTGGGGCTGGGAACACTGAGCTGATGGGGCCGGTTGGATGCGTCTGGGAAGCAGACCCTGATTCAGAGGCTGCTGTTTAAGAGAAACACCAGCTGTTTCTCAGGAAGCTGCCATTGGGGTCAACACCTGGGGCAGACAGGGCAGGAAGCAGGCATGGCTGAAGCGCGGCACCGTCTGTGGTCCAGGCCCACAGCAGCTTGGTAGCCCCATGGCTAACTGGAACTGGAACAGCTTCAGAGTGGCCCTGTGTGGGCAAAGTTAACCAGGTCTTTATATTTCCACATTGGTCACTGTCACTGGGCATGGGCCACCCCGAGAAAGTACTTGATTGTTGTCAAGGCAGCTGAGGTGAGGCCTGCAGCAGGGGACGCTAAACATGGTCCTGGGACCGCATGCCTGCCTGGCAGCTTGAAGGGGACCTGGGAAGCACAGGGCAACACTCACTACAGCTGGATAGCAGCCGCTCCTTCAGACGGGCGTGTGCTGGGAACTGCGCCTTGCTGGTTGGTGTAATTGTGACCTCTGGGCTAGAGGCTTAAAGATCAGAGTCGGGAGAGGAATGATCTTCCAGGGAGTTTGAGGAGGAAAAGGTAGGAGAGCTGCGGTGTGTGAGGGAAGTGGGCGGGAGAGCAAAGGGGGCTCCAGGAAGCATTGAAGATGAGGAGCCGTCATCAGTGCCTGGCGGAAGCTCTTAGGAGAGTCCTGTCTCTGTCCTGGAGGCTGCTCTGGGCCCTGGCTTCAGTGGTCATAGGCAGCATCTCAGGACACTAGCATCGAAGGCCACCCTGTCACTAGGGCAGTGCCGGGGATGCCAGGAGTGCCAGGAGGTGGCAGAAGTGAGAGGAGGATACAGGGTTGGCAAAGCGTCGACCCCTCTGCTGAAAGGCCCCAGTCCTGTGCCCTGCGGTGGGTCTGACCCTGAGCAGCTGCTCTGATGATCATCCCAGAGACAGGAGGAAGGTTCACATCTGTATTTGCAGGGAGCTCCTGGTGGGGCCAAATGAAAACAAGAACAACGCAGGGTGCTTTCCATTCTGCTAGATGAGTCTGGTTCCATGGACCATCCTTCGTTCTGAGATCACGCCCTCCCTGCTTTTTGGGTTCTCTCATGAAATAATGGTCATGGCGGATGGTAGTTGTTGACCTGGTTTTGCTTTTTCTTTAAAATTCCTTACTTGGTGGAATAAAAAGTCGGTGACCGGTATGGTTCCCTCAATAGGTTGGTTTTGTTGTTGTTGTTGTTTTTAAGACAGAGTCTCACTGTGTTGCCCAGGCTGGAGTACACTGGCATGATGTCAGCTCACTGCACCCTCTGCCTCCCTGTTCAAGTGATTCTCCTGCCTCGGTCTCCTGAGTAGCTGGAATCGCAGGTGCACATCACTGCACCTGGCTAATTTTTGTATTTTCAGTAGAGATGAGGTTTCACCATGTTGGCCAGGCTGGTCTTGAACTCCTGATTTCAGGTGATCTATCTGCCTCAGTCTCCCAAAGTGCTGGCATTACAGGTGTAAGCCACTG